AGAGACAGAAAGTGAGAAATCACCCCCCAGGGGGGATGGTCACGCCGCAATCCCTTCTCCTCCATTCTCCTCTCGGGATCTTGGGCACACACGCACACGCGCCCAGCATGAGTTTTAAGCCACCGGGTCCAGGACTCGATCCGTGGTCGACTACATGGGAGTCCAGTAACATAGCCATTACACTAACTGCTGGTCCCGTGTTGTCCTTCTTATATTGGCATCATAGTAGCATCGCTTTGCCAGGAATCAGTTTCTACAGAAATGGGTGTTCATTTCCTAAACTGACAATATGGGTCTCATCTCCCCATTGAGGTTATGAAACCCAAACAGCTAGACAGGGTAATCACAATGCTAGACCCCAGCCACCCTCCGTCCATCGTCACTCAACCCACTGGGAGGGTAAAAGTGCAGCGTCTCCCCATCCTGAGGACTCCATTACCCTCCAGGCAGCCCCTCCTTCTAAAAGGCAGAGGGTGAGGCAAGGACTCTCAGGGGTTACTGGATTTTCAGGGCAGGAAAGGACTTCTAAGCAACCCTCTCTTTTACAAAGGCCCAGAGCCTGGTACACAGTAGGCGTTCAGCAAATGTTTGTTCAACGAATATTGGGCCACTTTCCTCAGGCCACACAAAATTTGGGGCAGAACCCAAATTGGAAACCAAGTCTCCATCTACTCTGTCCTTCCCGTGGCACCATTTCTAGGCCTACTTCGCATGGGTGGCAGAGTGGAAGGATGGAAAATGTGCCCCCGTCTTTTGTATTCACATGGGTCTGGGCTCAAACCCCTGTCCTGCCACTTACTCCCTGTAGTAAAGCTTGGGTAAGTGATCAGACCTCTCTAGATCTTGGCTTCCTCCTCTGTGAAAAATGAAGAGTAATGCCTACCTCATGGAGTTGTTGTTGCAAGTATCAAATATATTGGGCCGTCAGAAAAGTCATGACTGATTTTTCTATGTTTTTCTATTCAGAAATGCATCGTGACTTTTCCAGTCACTCGATAGATGCATTTAAATTGCAAATCTCAGTGTCTGGCACATAGTAGGAGTTCTTTAAGTGCTAACCCACCTTTCTTCACAGTGTCAGACCAGGATTGCTGTCTTGCATATTGAAAATAAGCCTGGAATGGCAGGCAGAGATTTGGATGATAAGAAATGGTACAAGTGGGCTTTGAATTTAAGTAAACCCAAGATACATAAAATGAGATTTATAGAAGGCTAAAATGAAGGTGAGGGGCGATTAGTGAGGTTCTCTAGAGCATTTTAAAGAAGATTTTATGACAAAAATGTCATTTATACACAACTGTTTCACTTCACAAGACCCTGGAAAGACCCAATTAGATTAGAAGGGAAAAAAATTGATTTCATGGGCACTGAAACCCATCTGAAAGTGGCAATCACTTGTCGATGAAACAGATTTTTTGATTGTGACCCAGGGTGCCATCCAATTCAGCCTGATTTCCTATGAAATATGACTATTTTTATCCTCAAGTACAATTGTCCAGCATCATGTTTTTCAAAGGACGGAGGAC